GGTGGCTCAGTTGGTTGAGCAACGGCCTTCGGCTCAGGTCATGATCCTGGAGTCCCAGGATCGAGTCCCGCATCGGGCTCCCTGCTCGGCGGGGAGTCTGCTTCTCCCTCTGACCCTCCTCCCTCTCATGCTCTCTGTCTCTCATTCTCTCTCTCTCAAATAAATAAATAAAATCTTTAAAAAAAAAAAAAAAAGACAGATGATGACAAGTGCTAAGTGTTGGCGGGGATATAGAGAAATGGGGATCCATATACCTTAGTGGTGGGAATGTAAAATGGTGCAGCTGCTCTGGAAAACAGTTTGGAAGTTCCTCAAAATGTGAAACGTAGTTACTTATATGACCCAGCAATTCCAATCTTAGGTATCTACCCAAGAGAAATGAAACACATGTCCATACAAAGATCTGTATGTGGATGTTCATATCAGCTTCATTCCTAACAACCAGTCTCCAAATTGGGGAACGTCTGCCAACGTCCAAATGTGCATCAATGGGTGAATGGATAAACAAGATGTGGTTTCCCATAAAATGGAATACCATTCAGTGAAAAGGAAGAGAGTGCGGCTATCTGCTACAACATGAGAGAATCTTGAAAAGATGATGCTAAGGGAAAGAAGTCAGTCACAAAAGACCCACAGATTATATGATTCCATTTATATGAAATGTCCAGAAAAGGCAAAGCTATGGACGTAGTAGTTCCCTACGAAGGCAGTGGAAACAGGAACTGACTGCAAATGGGCACAAAGTTTCTTTTTTGGGGGGGAGACAGAAAGGTTCTAAAATCTTGACACTGTACCCCTCTGCAAATTTATTAAAAATCATTGAACTGTGAACTTCAAATGAGTGACTGTTATGGTACCTCGATAAAGTTAGAGAATACAGAAAGGCAAAAAAAAATAAAAGTTCCTTTGTCTCTTAGAAATGTTACCACAGGAACATTTTTACACACTAATTTTGCCTGATGATGATATTCATGAGGTGGGGATAAATAATCAAAATTCTTGTTTTAGTCACAGGAGCCCTTCTCAAATAAGAGATAACTGGTTTGGCCTAAATGTACAGCATAATTAAAAGCATTTATTTCATTTTCATTTTCTTCATTGATCTGTTAGAATTTTTCAAACTACAGTATTTTCAACTTCGTGCAGACCTGGATACACATTTCCAGGTCTACTGTTTCTAGAAGAGTTCTTAGGTGAGACCTGGAAGAGGAGGGGCAAGTTATTTATTTATTTTGGAGACTCCCATTTATTTTCTGCCACACGAGAGGGTTTCCAGAGGGGACCGAGAAATATTCAGGATTGGTGAATATGGTCAGCTCCTCTCAAACAGCTGCAGATTTGAAACGTCCAAGGAAATCATCTTTTTAAGAAAACCACCAAAGAGCCCTATTCTTTAAGGGGGAAAATATTCTGGTGGGAAAATGAAACTGGAAAAGAGAACAGTTTAGGACCTGAAAACAAATAAATACAGGAAATTTTTGAAACCTATTTTACCTTAATATTTCTTTCTTAGAATTTCTTCAAAACAGATGTTGTAAACTTTTCAGAAAAACAATTATTTGCTAGGAGAAAGTAGTCTTGATTAGGGTATGTGTCAAGGAAATATAATTATCAATTTGCCTAATTAAAATGACTATCTGAACATGCCTGAGGAATGTGAACCTTCTCAAATGAGACACGTACAATTCACTTTTTATAAACATCTGCTGACGGAGCCTCTTGGATGATGTTAACAGGGAATGGATGACTGAAGCCAAGCTTCATCAATGCTACTACTCGAAGAAGTGCATGCAGTCCTGCCACTCCCATAGATCACCAGGGGGGAAAGGGTCTTAAAGTGCTTACCACACACTGGATGTTTGTGTGCCCCCAAAATTCTTATGTTGAAACCTAAACCCCAATGTGATGCTATGTGGAGGCAGTGAGGTCAAGAGGGCTTGGTGATGAGATTAATACCTTCTAAAAGAGACCCTAGAGTGCGCATTCCGCGCTCCCACCCTGTGAGGGCAGGGCAAGAAGATGGTCGTCTGTGAACTGGGAAGGCATGCACCACACCCGCATTCCGCGGGCGCCTTGATCTTGGACATCCAGCCTCCAGAACTGAGAAGCGTCTGTTTTTTCTAAGCCACCCCGCGTGTGGTGCTCGGTTATGACAGCCTGAACGGACTAAGACAGGCTTCGCTTGAGTAACAAACTTTGGCTAATTCAGGAAGGGGCTTCGAGGAGCGAGTGTATGAGGGTTATCAGGGCTGTGATTTGGGACAGTGTTGCTTGAGTTAACCAAGCCTCTGACAGGCAGGGTGTATTTTAGCAAGAGATGGGGAAACGCCAGTTGCTTCCCTTTCTCTTCGGGGCCGGCCTTTAGAGCCACCCTCCCCTCCCAGCTCCAGCGGCTTCACCTTCCCACGAGGCCGGGCCTGGCCTCTGCAAGCAGCTCTCAAAGGCGCCAGCAATGCCCGCAGGAAACTAGGTGAGAGCAATGGAGGTACGTTGGCAGTGGACTAGGGCTTCAGCTCCCCGTGATGTGAACCCACAAGACGAGGTGTTCTAAGCCCGAGCCACCAAGGCCAGGCCTCTAAAAGCCCTGCGCTAAATGGCCCCCACTGAGCATGCCCGCTGGGGATGCTCAGCCCACACAGGAGACTGGGCGTAGGCCCCACCACTGAGGGAAGCTCAGGGTCATCTTCCCTCTTCCTATCTCAGCAGGGGCAGTGTCCTGTCCTTTTATCTTCTCCGTCTCTCTGCCCACCTCCCCGTTCTTGTCGGGGTGAATGACTCTCTTGTTCTCTGGAGCTCCTTGCAGCCTGTGGCAACTCCAGTGGGTTAAGAAGTTTTGACACCTCCATATCGTTCCCCCATAATCTCCGTCGGAAGCCCTCCCCGCAACCACAAGCACCTCCAACTACCACGAATAAATAAACCCAAAGTGAAAAACGCGGGTGCTATGGCAATGTTGCTTCAAGCCAAGGTCTTGGGCTCCAGCTTGTAATCAGATTGCACCCCAAGTTCCTCAGGCCTAGAAATTCTTTTGCTCTCACTACCGCAGCTAGACCATTCTTTCCAAAACGGAAATCTGATCGGTGTCCTTGTTTCCTCACACATGCAGCTTCAAACTCTTTGATGCTTTTAGGTACAGACAAAACTCAATTACTCCCCCCCCCCACCCCCTACCATCCTCCATTCTCTTAGAACACCACACCCCTATCCTTTCCTTCCCCATCCCGCCATGCCACAGACGTTTACACCTGTTCCATCCACAGTCCACAATGCTCTTTCCTCCCTTCAGGGCCCTGTTAACCCACACTCAACCTTCTCGATCAGATAACACACCCCTTGCCAGGGGGAAATACTCTGCATATCCAGCAACAGAAGGTATACGATAGAATATTGCCCAGGAGGGAAGTGAGTCAACTACAGCTACTTATATCAATACAGATAAATCTCAAAAACCTCACGTTGGGCAAAAAAAAAAAAAAAAAAAGTCCTATTAAGGTATTTTTAAAATGGGCACTATCGCAGACTGTATTTTCCAAAACCCGCCACAGCTATATTTCTGGCCCCCACATGCTCTTCCAGAACCTTGTCACTCCCCCACCAAGAGCTGCAAAAAGAGAAAAGAACAAGGTTTTAGGACAGAGACCTTGAGGAGGAACCTTTTTAAATAGGTTAGCCAGGGAAAATCTGACCCCGGAAGTGACTTAACTTTAACTAGAGTTAGAGGGTTGAGAAAGAGCCAGGCCCTACCAGCCCGGCTATTAGCTATGGGAGCAGAGGAAAAGAAAGGCCTTCGAGAAAAACCTGTGCGGCAGGAGAACCGGGCAAAGGGCTGGATGACAAGCATGAAGCCAGAAAGGCTGAGCACGAGCCAGATCATGCAGGGCACTGGGGTGATGGCACTGGGGTGATGTCCCCGGGGGTTTACAAAACCGGTGAGGGCGTGGGAGGGAATCTTGACTCCGGGCAGAGAAAAGCCAGAGAGGACCAGGAAATCAGCTGTTCACGCTTCCCGCAGGAGGCATTTAAAAAACAAAACAACAACAACAAAACCCACATTTTTACAACGAGACAGGCTAAATCCAAACCCCAAGCGCTTAACTTTGACCCGACCCTGGCCTGCCCTCCCGCCCTGCTGTCCGATGGGCACAGTGCACATATCGCGGGAAGTAAGCGGGACTGTGGAGTATAAAAGACATCCTGGTGAACCACCACCACAAGAATAACCGCATCTAACGCGCACCTAGCGCCTACGAGCGCCACACACAAGATCACGGTTGTTATTCCCGGTTTGCAGGTGGGGAAACTGAGACCGAGTCCTGCTGAGTAACGTGTCCAAGGCAGGGCTGAAAGCAAGTCTAACTGCACAGCCCACGCTCCCGGGAAGCACCTTTGCCGCCTTACTCTCTCTTCTCCTCTATTAGGCAAGTTAGGTCAAGGCCAGCAAGGCCCCACTGCCGGGACACCCGTCTCTAAAACAGCGCCCCTCGAAGCCCTAAGAGCGCGCGGTGCGGCCGCTATTGCGGTCCCCCCCCCGCCGGAGTGCAGCCCCCGAAGCGGTCCGGCTGGAGGCGCGCAACTGTTCCCCCGACGGAAGGTTCCGCAGCCCTGAAGTCATTCCCACCCCCCACCCCCCCGCCCGGGCGAAAGGCCGGTAGTACCTGAGGGAAACGCGTCTAGGGTCCTGCCCCTGGCTCGGCGGAAAATACCCCCCGCCTCCGCAGCCGACATGGCGAGCGAGTTTCCGGCTTCCCCTGAGTACACAGTGTGGGAGGGAACGGCAGGACACCAAACAGCCCAACCGCGGGACCTGTCCTGCCGGACTCCGGGCGGCGCCCTCTGCTCAGGGCGGGGCGGCAGGGCCAGCGCGCGGGGCTCGGCCCCTCGGGGCGCCGCTAGTGCTGCCTGAGCGGGTCGGAAGCGTGAGCGGCCCCTCTGGGATCGACTGGGGCGCCTGGCCAGTGGAGGCGCCTGGACTGGGGCCCGCGTGCGTGCGCAGGGCGGGTGCTCTCGGGCTCAGGCTGGGGGGTGGGGACTTCCTTTCCCCTAAGGTGGCGTTGCCAGGTCCCCCAAATAAAAATACAGGACGCCCAGTTAGGTTGGAATTTCAGATAAACAGTGGATGACTGTTCAGTGTAAGTATAGCCCATGCAATATTTGGGAGATACTTACACTAAAATTTTGCATCGTTTATCTGAAATTCCAGTGTAACTGGGCTCCTGTATTTCAAACGACAACCCTAGCTTGAGGTCAGAAGAACTGGGCCCTGTCTCAGGACAGTCCTCCGAGCCACCAACTGTGATCTAGGACACCTGAGCATCTTCATCATCATCCAGTCACTGTCATCATCGATCACTAGGAATCATAGCTCACCTAATCTGCACATCAGCGTCAGGAGATGGTGCTGTCATTAGCCGCATTTGTCAGAAGGGGAAACTGATGATGCTCAGAGACTTGGAGCAGTTTGTACAAGGTGACTGCAAAAGCAGTGAAGTTGCCACCCACTCAAACTGGGATCTGTCCAGAAGAAAAAGAAAAAAAGGGGGGGGGGGGATCCATTGCGCTACACTGCTTTAGGCCTGTGTTTGCTAAAGTTGTTAAAAACACAAATTCCAGGAGGAGTTGCACCTACTGAATCCAAATCTCCAGGAGAAGGGTCTGTTTTTAACTCCTTAAGGAGTTCTTTTGATCCGTCAAGTTTGGGAAATTCTCAACTAGCTGCCTACATCCAGGAGACTGCTTCCAATCTTGGACAAGAGTTCTAATAGCAAATGGTAAGTCCTCAAAGAATATTACGCATTATAATCATCATCACTATTGATCACCATATCCCTATTCCCTGCATATGGTCTGGCCCAGGGGAGGATTCTCAGGAAACATTCAAGAGGGAATGACAAAATGAGAATTAAAAGTCCCAGTGGGGGACTCAAGACCCTGCAAGTCCCAGCCCCCGCCTACCTCTCACCCAGTAACTGTCCTCTTTCAGTTCCTTAAATATACAAATCCAGTTCCTTTTTTGCACAAGTGGATCCATCTGCTTAGAATGCATGTGCCCATTTAAACAGCAAGGTCTCTGCTTAATCACGCTTCCAAGGAGAGGCTTTACCCCCAACACTTGCACACACCCTTCCTATCTAAACCAGGTCTCCTCGTTCTTTTTATAACACTCCGTTCTTGTCTCTTATAGGTGGCCCTTTGCACAGTTGGAGCTATCACCACACATAGTCATTATTTACAGATGTATTTATTTGTTTCAGATGTCATTATTTATTCCCTGATGTCTTTCCCAGCTCGGCTGTTAAGGTCCACGAGGGTGGTTACCTCGACTGTCGTGCTCACCAGGCAGGATGCTTGAGGCATAAACACTCCAGTAGCTGCTGCATGAATAAATGGATTATGAATATCCTGACAATATAACCCTGATCTGAACCTGGGTAGTGGTTGGGCATAGCTCTATTGCTAGTGATGATGAGTAACCTCAGAACTACATAGGAACCACTGAATGATAATAATGGCTGGAACCAAACCTGTCCACCACTGGGTCCCAGCAGCATGTCCCATCTTCCCCTCATCACTACAGGTCAGTGGTTCCACTCTCCTCTGACCGAGCTCTTCCAGCTCATACCCTCTTCTGTGCAGCTGTCTGCCTGGCAGCATGAGAAGAGCATATTCCTGGGCAGCAGGACCTGCTCTGCTGGACCTGTTCAGTCCATTTCCTTTCTGTGCAACCTTGAGCAAGTCACGTCATCCTTCTGAGCTTTAGCATCTTTGTTTAAAATGAGATAATCATAGCACCAATGTCATTTGCTATTGTGAGAAGTCAGTGAAGCTCTGGGCAGTTTCTCGAACATATGAGGTGCTTGATACATTTTTTTCTGAGTTGATATTGTTATCGACTATCTCTTCAACTCATTTTTTTCTAGTCAAAATTCTCTTTTTTCAAGATTAGGTGTTTTATCAGTCAGGTATCATGTCCTAGCAAATAACCAAAAATCAGTTCAAATTGGCTCAATCAAAAAAGGAATCCATTGGGGGCGCCTGGGTGGCTCAGTCGTTAAGTGTCTGCCTTCGGCTCAGGTCATGATCCCAGGTTCCTGGGATCGAGCCCCGCATCAGGCTCCTGCTTGGCGGGAAGCCTGCTTCTCCCTCTCCCACTCCCTCTGCTTGGGTTCCCTCTCTCGCTGTGTCTCTGTCAAATAAATAAATAAAATCTTAAAAAAAAAAAAAAAAGGAATCCATTGGCATATATAAATTAAAAACCCTAAGAAGCGGGCACCTGGGTGGCTCAGTTGGTTAAGCGACTGCCTTTGCTCAGGTCATGATCCTGGAGTCCCGGGATCGAGTCCCGCATCGGGCTTCTCCCTCTGACCCTCCCCCCTCTCATGCTCTATCTCATTCTCTCTCTCAAATAAATAAATAAAATCTTTTAAAAAAAAAAAACCCTAAGAAGCTTCAGGCGACGTTTGATCAAGCTGCTCATAGGATGTTATAAGAATCCAACTTTCTCCATTTATCCTCTCTGCCTTTGGTAATTTTGGCTTTATCTTCAGTCTCCATGTAGGGAACTCCTTCCCATCACTTGAAAATTCCAGGCTCCCCCTTCACAGGAGCAGAATGGCTACAACAGTTCTAGACCATACCCTCATGAGATACCATCTAGGGAGGAGAAGGAAAAAAAAAAGTCTCTTTTTCTCACCCCCCACCCCCACAAACATCCATTTGTATCACTGCAATCCCAATTTGAATATGTGCTCCTTTCTGAAGCAAGGTCAGAAGATAAATGGCATGTTTAGACTGGCTTAAGCTAGAAGGGCCACCCCTGTAGAAGGAGTGCTATCAATATCACTCAAACCACCTGCCTGAGGATGAAGAGCATAGTTCTCTTAAAATGAGATCCAGATGCCCTGATTGCCCCAAGAAAGGGGGAATGACTAATTTTTTAAAAGAGCCAATAGAGAATCCACTGTATTCCCCATGCACAGGTGAGGGTTGGGGGTGAGAGGAGGAGAGCATATCAGCCAGTGACTACCATGCCTCCTCCCCACCCTTTAAAAACTGCCCTTTTCCTTCCATCCTACCCCTTGTAACAGCTAATCCAAATGTGTTGTTACTTAGAGACCCAGGTATATAATGAAGAACACCAGTTGCTGTACTGGACTCTATTACAGCCTCACTCCGTGAAGCAAGCAGAACAATTTGTGTTAACACTCAAAGGCCCTATGCTGCTCAGCTTTTATTGTTCTTCCATCTACTTTTTAGAGATCTTCCATCTTCTCCTCACTGTCAGGCTGTGAGCTGTCACTTCTCACTGCTTCTGGAATCTGCCTGTAGCAAGTCCTCACTCTACCTCCTTCTCTCATTTCTTGTCTGCCCAGGTTTGGGAAACCAGACGACAAAGGTTGTTAGGATTATGAGCCAGGTTGGTTTACAGATTTGAGCCAGTAGGCTTGGCATAAGAGCTCAATGCCTCATTTAGAGGAAAGTGCCTGGGCTTGACTTTAATGGATATAGTCATTCCTGGTGGACTATGTGATGATAAGTTTTATGTCAAATTAGCTGGCCTCCAGTGCCGGATATTTGGTCAAGCATTATTCTGGGTGTTTCTGTGAGAGTATTCTTTAGATGAGATTTATATTTAAATTGGTAGACTTGGAGGAGAGCACATCGGCCTCCATAATGTGGGTGGGCCTCATCAAATCAGTTGAAGATCTGAATAGAACAGAGTGATTCCTCAAGTGTGAGGATTTTCAGCCAGCAGATGGCCTTTGGATTTCAACTGCAGCATTGGCTCTTCCTGGTTCTCCAGCCTGCTGGCTCACCTTCCAAATTTTGGACTTGCCAGCCCCCATAACTGTGTGAGCCAATTCCTTAAAATAAATCTCCTTCTCTGTATCTACACATTTTTGCTTCTGTTCCTCTGGAGAACCTTGACTCACACAGATTGTCAGAGGTCTTTTTTGGAAGTGTTAAAGTCCCAGAGTGAGGCTTTAATTCAGGTTGGTATCATCATTCTGGAAGGAAGGAGATTATCCTGGTGCAGCACATTTGAGATACGTGAACATGTGAGACACAATATAATGACTCAGCAATGTGGGCGCCGGGTGCCCCTCACCTTTACCCACTCCTGACCTGCACTTCTTCAGGCGGGACTAAGGAATGATGGACTAGGGAATGGGATGGGGTCAAGGTGAAGGGCAGTCCATGAGGATGTCAATTTTACACACTTGATCGTTTTTTAAAAACTGAAAATAAATACCTTGGACCTGGTCGACATGCCATGTATCCTTCAGACCCCCCAAGTCGTTGTGCTGTTGTTGTTTTTTTAGTTTATTGACTTCACTGATATTGTCACAGGCTTGGTATTAACAGGGCTTGCACACTTTCCCCCTTTCCAAGGTGTTAGAGAATTTCCAAAATGTTTCAGGTGTACCTGTGTTCTCCAGCATAAAAGGTAAATCATGTCCTTGAGACCTTTTAGATATCATTGCAACTCTCTTGGGTGAGCCGCATAGCTTGTAGATTGTGTTTTTATTATCAGAAAGAAAATATAACTTATGTATGCTACCATGTATAATGATCATTTATGAGTGATCTTCCAGGTCTTTACACATAGTTTCTCCTGTTATCCCTCAAATAAAATAAAGTTTCACCTCATTTTAAAAATGAAATGATGGAGCCTCAAGAAAGCCAAGTAAGTGCCTGGAGTCATCCTACCATTTACCAAAATAGCAAAGCCTGCACCCCTCTCTTCACCCTCCTTCTGCTGATCATGGTCAATTTCCATGTCAATTTGGTGCCTATCCTCTTTGCTGCTTACCATTTGGCTTGAAGAATTTCTTCAGTCTTTGAAAACTTGTCCCCTTGGGATGCAATTTTTTACCCTGTTCAGTCACATGACCTGAATGTAAGCTAACTCTACTTACCAGCTCTGTGACCTTAGGCAAGTCACTTAACCTCTCTGAGCTACGTGTTCCTCACCTGTGCAGTGAACGTAATCATGTTTACCTGCAGAGTTGTTGGCAGAAATCAGGGACATAGCATATTTAAAGTACGTCTCATGGCCCATAATAATTGCTCAACAAACAGCTTGTTCTTATTGTGGTCATTACTCTCTCAGATACGCTCCTGAAGACTTCCCAGCATGGCAGGGCACTCGGGGTTTCTTATGCATGGAGGCAGGGCTTCCTGACGTGTGGAACCCGGAATGAAGAATGTGAGTTCGAACACCATCCCCAGGGAAATCTCACGCTGGCAGAGGTCCTCCCACGTACCCTATTTCTTCAGATCGAGCTGACCATTACGGTAACTGCTAGCCACACGCGACTACTTCCATTAATCAAAATTAAATAACATTTCCATGACAGTTCTTCAGGTACACAAGACATATTTCAAGTGCTCCGTAGCTACATGCGGCTAGGATGACCTGAGTTAGAGGAAAAAGATCCAGGACATTCCAGTTCAATCTGAATATACGATAAAGTATGGCCCAGCATACTTACAAGAAAAAAAGTCATATGTTGTTTATCTGAATTCACATCTAACTGGGCATCATATCTGATTAGGGCTACCATGCTGGAGAGCACAGATGTGGAGCGTTCCCATCATTGTAGAAATTTCTAATGGACAGCTCTGCTTTAGAACCTTCATGAGCAACTCAAAGCTAATGAACCCTACCCCATTCCTGGTGTTTTTCTGTCCACCGGCACATGATGGGCATGCAGATCATGAATAGCCAGAAGTGTCCAGAACTACTATGATAAAGTTCTTGGCCTCTGAAGCAGTTAATACTAATTACTCCAGTTTTTTTTTTCATCCAAACACTTGAATTTAATTTCCTCATTTAAGCTTTTGTTCCTCCATTTTCTTTTCTTTTTTTTTTTCATCTCCCCTACATTGCTTAACACCCCTTATAAATAATATTCTGGCAATAAATAATCTTCTGTAAATAATCTTGTAGGGGCTTACTCTTCCTTTCCAATCTTAATTTTATTCAACTATATCATGAACTCAGCCTCCTGAACTATTTAAATATTTTACAATTACTCGGTGCCATGAAAAACCCTATTTTCCCTTTCTCAACAAGTATTAGTGTTTGCCTGGGTGGCTCAGTGGGTTAAGTGTCTGCCTTCGGCTCACGTCATGATCCAAGGTCCTGGGATCGAGTCCTGCATTGGGCTCCGTGCTCTGCAGGGACTCTGCTTTTCCCTCTACCCCTCCTCCCACTCATTATCTCAATTTCTCTCTCTCTCAAATAGATAAATAAAATCTAAAAAAAAAAAAAAAAAAAAGAATTAGTGTTCTCCTGAAAACTCCAATCCTCATGACTCAATGATATATTGAGTGTATGATCTGATCTCCTTAAAGTGTTGGGGGATGTCATCAAAACATCGTGACTGCCAGTTGACCCATGAACTAGACCCGGGCTCTTGGAGCTCCTCACCTGCTCCCCTGTCCTTAGAATGTGGGTTCTGCTTGCCTTTCCTGCTGAGTGGGGAGTCTGCTTCTCCCTCCCCATCTGCCTGCTGCTCCCCCCTGCTTGTGCTCTCTCTCTCTGTCAAATAAATAAAATCTTAAAAAAAAAAAAAAAAGAAATAGGGTCTTTGCAGATGCAATCAAGTTAAGGTGAGATCCCACTGGAGTAGGACAAGCTTGGTCTGAGGACTGGTGTCTTTATAAGAAGAGGAGAGGATGCCCATAGACCCCCAGAGAAGAAGGCCATGTGATGAGAGATGCAGACATTGGAGTGACACATCAACAAGCCAAGGAACACCAAGGATTGTAGCCAACCACCTGCAGCTTGAAGAACAGCAAGGAAGGATTCTCCCCTAGAGCCTTCTGAGGGAGCACAGTCCTGCTGACACCTTGATTTTGGACTTCTAGACTCCAGAGCTGAGAGAGATTCTATTTCTGTAGTTGTCATTGTTTAAGATTTTATTTATTTTAGAGATAGAGACAGAGCATGAGCAGGGCAGGGAGCAAAGGGAGAAGGACAAGCAGACTCCCTGCTGAGGGCAGAGCCGGATGCAGGGCTCGAGCCCCGGACCCTGAGATCATGACCTGGGCTGAAATCAAGACTCAGGTGCTCAACCGACTGAGCCACCCAGGCGCCCCTCTCTTTCTGTTGTTTTAAGCCACCCAGTTGGCGGCAATCTGTTATGGCAGCCCTAGAAAACTAATACAGATTTGTATTATTGCCATCTGGCTGATGAGAAAACAGAGGCTGTTTGAAGGACACAGAGAAGTTAGACGTGGACCCTGTCATCATAATCTATCCCGGGGGCTGTAGGAAAGCATTGTGTGCAGATTGAGAGCTTGGGCTCTGGAGGAGATAGACCTGGGTAGCATCTCAGCTCCATCACTTACTTGCCATCTGACCTCAGGCAAGTCCCCTAGGGTCCACCGAGCCACAGTGTCCTCATTTTCAAAGTGGAATACTTCATAGAGTTTGGGGGGAGGATTAAATGAGAAACTGGAGGAAAAACACCTCGACTGGTATGTGATCGGCTCTCCAAAAAATGGTACCTGTCACGATTGTCCATATTGTCAGTATTAATAGTAGATGAAACTGGCCAGGATGCTTCTAAGAGGAGGAATCAGAATTTAATTCTGATTTTGTGCTAAAGCTTCCCCCTTTAATGTAGCCTTACTGGCTTTGGGCAACAAAATCAATTGGAGGTGAGGGAGGAGGGTCTTGAGCTCCCCCTAGAGGTGAGCATGGGTTACAAACCATGGGAGGAGAGGAAAGGAAGGGAGGAAACAGATCTGTGGGAAGAACAGTATGGAGAAAGACTGATTAGGTAGAAGCAAATTGGGGAAAACTTTGAACACTAGGCAGACGAGTTGCTTTAAGACAGACAGACGGACAGACTATGGTTTTGGTTGGAAGGAACTGGATGTGAAGAGAGCAATATAAATCTGAAACGGCTAGGTGGAAAGTTCTGGCAGTCAGAACGGAAAATTAAAAAAAAAAAATGTAGTACAGAGATGCTATGAAACAAAGACCCCGGTGACAGGATGAATACAGGGACTCTAACGCAGGAATCAAAGGCTTGGGTTTCTAGCCTGAGAAAATAGAAGAAAAAATGATTCTGCTCTCAGAAACAGGTTAGTTGGAGGCGAGAGCCAATTTTGGGGGTAGTGGGGAAATGATGAATTCGCTTTTGAACAAGCGGAAATGGAGGGAATTTTTTCTCCTTTTATGACCCTTTTTTGCTGGTGTTCTATTCATACGTTTTTGTCTGCCACCCAGGTAGTCCAGTGTTACGGAAAGACGGAGATGGTAAACTGTGAGATTTAAGGCCCCTCTTTAATTTCCCAAATTTCCCAGGAAAAGTCCAACTACCTGATACAGCTATGGTCTTTGCAAAATGGTAAAGCACTGAAGAGAAGATGAGAATTTCCGTAATCCTATCCTTCCCAGACATCCCTACAGCAAACAGTTTTAGATATACAGATACTGATACCCATTATAGATATAGCTTGACTTTATAATGTTTATAGGAATGTGTGTGTATTAGGGATTTAGGGGGGTGTCCAAGAAATATCTTCTTTATTAGCTATGTAAGGATATTTTATTGGATATTTAAGGAGATCAATCTATCTCTTATCACTGATAAAAGCAAATTTGGAGGACATAGCTGATGTAGGTAACCAAGTGGGCTTTCTAATGCTTTCTGCCTCTGAATGAGATGGTAATTTGGTATGTAGCAATAGATAACTCGCCCAGTCATTGCTCAGCTGGATAATGATCAGCATCTCCCAGCAGGGGCAGAACCGGCTCCTCTAAACTTGCCTGGTTTAGTGGGGAGCAGATAACAGGAGGCCAGCTCTGGAACCAGGCTGACCCAGTGAGAGGAAGTGCTCATGCCCAGTTCATCCTTGACAAGTGACCAATCAGGGAAGTCCTCCCTCCTCCCCTGGCATGTTATAAAGGGGTGGGATGGAGAAGAGTCAGGAAAACCCCTCCACTGGGAAGCATGATGGAGTGGGGAGCAATGGCACAAAATATTAGAATTTGTATGTTTATTTCTGAGCCTTTTTCACTACCCTCAGAGCTCCACGAAAATGCTCAGGGGGATATAGGGGGGGGGATCTGCTGGTTTTTTTGTTTTTGTTTTTTAAAGATTTTATTTATTTATTTGCCAGAGAGAGAGATAGCAAGAGCAGGAACACAAGCAGGGGGAGTGGGAGAGGGAGAAGCAGGCTCCCTGCCAAGCAGGGAGCCCGATGCGGGACTCGATCCCAGAACCCTGGGATCATGACCTGAGCCGAAGGCAGAGGCTTAATGACTGAGCCACCCAGGTGCCCAGGATCTGCTGTTTTGTAAGCTGCTTTCTTCACTTAATATGTTGACACCATTTATACACAGAGAGTGTGTGTTTGTGTGTGTGTAAAACTCTGAATTGTTCCAAATTCCATTTGGGTTCTATTCTGGGGTTGTTTCAAATTCTCTTCTTCTCAATAGAACTATGTGAAATTGCTGTTTTCATACATCAAAATGGTCAAATATCAGCAGTTCGTGTTTCAACCTAATATTTATAAGCAATGCTGCAATGAACAGTTTCAACATATTGGTACACGTTTCTGATAATTTCTTCAGGATAAATTCCTAGAAACGGAGCCATGAGACTAAAGAGTATACACATGTGAAATGTTGATGGGGTTTCTCAGGGTGCCTTCTGTTCCACCAACATGTATGAAACTCCCCAGCTCCCTGACAATTGCCAAACAAAGCCATGGGTAGATCAATTCACTCATATCAAGTATGTATGCACTCCTCTTTGTTAGATTTTTCTGTGGAACTTTTGTTTCCAGTTGCCTTCCTTTGGGGTCTTCTTTCCTCTGGCATACGGATACCCAACTGCCTCCCCCACCCCTCACTGCCCAAGAATCAGGAGGAAGAAATCTGAACTATGCTTTCTTCCACGTCAACTGTAACAGAATTTCTTGAAGTGTGATTTCTATGAAAAAAATGGCTTATCTTTTTTAATCTCCTATACATTGCATTAATTAACTTCTGAGATTGGTGTGCATGGTGAATAGAAAATGTTGTCAATAGGGGCGCCTGGGTGGCTCAGTCGTTTGAGTGTCCAACTCTTGACTTCAGCCAGGTCATGATCTCAGGGTCATGAGATCGAGCCCCCTGTCGGGCTCCACGCTCAGTGTGGAGCCGCTTGAGCTTCTCTCTCTCCCTCTCCTTCTGCTCCTCCCCCCATTTATACTCTGTCTCTCTCTAAATAAATAAATAAATAAAATCTTAAGAAAAAATAAAATGTTGTCAATAAAATAAAAGTAAATTTTAAAGTAAGCTCACAGGGCGCCAGCTATAATAGTAAGCATTTAGCTTATGGAATCTTCACAGCCAACCTGAGAAATAGGTATAGGCATCCCCAATTTACAGTTGAGGAACTTGGGCTCAGAGAGGTTTAGTAGCTCACCCAAGGTGGCACAGCCCCCGTATTAGTTATCTATTGCTACATACCAAATTACCACATGCTTAGCAGCTTAAAACAACAACTATTTATTATTTTACATTTGCTGAGGGTCAGAAGTCTGGGCATAGCTTGGCTAGGAACGCTGCATGTAGGCTGTCACAGACTGCCACCAGGTGCCAGCAAGACTGGGGTCTCATCTGAAGACTTGACCGGGGAAGATCTGCTGCCAAGCTCTTACATGGTTGCTTGTTGGTCTGAGGGCTTTAGTTCCTGCTGGCACTTGGCTGGAGGCTGCCCTCAGTCCTTTGGCACATGTCCTTTCCAACATAGCAGCTCACAATATCAAAGCCAGGAAAGGAGAAAATCTTCTAGTGAGACAGAACTCATTGTGCATAGCTTCATCACAGAAGTAGCATCCTGTCACTCTTGCTATAGTCTTTTGGTTAGCAGCAAGTCACCAGACCAGTACACACCCAAAGGAAGAGGGTTGCGTAGGGACATGAATACCAGGTGGTAAGACTCTTTGTAGGACATTATATACCCTGCCTGTCAAAGCAATTAAATAGCAGAACTAACATCTGAAGTCGGTTTTTTCAAATACTGAAGGTCCCCATAGTTAACCACTATGTTTACTGCCTTTCCAAATTAACCCAGTTACATCTCAGAAAGATTAATCTGGTTATTCTAACATGGACCCTAGCAGTTTTTTTTTTTTTTTTGTTTGTTTGTTTTAGGTATTATCCTTTTAAATTTAATCTCCCAAGTGGGAAGCAGAAAGATACATCCAGGGTGGGCGAATTAACCAGTTCCATGGATTTTAGTTAGGGGTAACTTTAGAAAGTAGGACTAATGACCACAAGACTTCCAGTGTTAAATCCTGACCCCTAGATATTAGACTTAGCCTTCTCATATGACTTTTAGATCATTTAACCAATTTACTAAGGATAAAATAAATTTGGAGCAGACAATTAGATTCAGATCTAGCAGATAGAGCAGATAGAGCACAGCTGCCTTGGGAGAAATAACTTATATTATTTGTCCAATCCTTTCTCCCCTCCCATTTGGTATCTTGAATCTGTAGCTAAATTCAGAATTGAAATGACTAGGTTTAATAAACATCTTCAGACATAACCATACATCTGTGTGTAATTTGGTTTGGGGAAGAACAGGAGAACTGGTTCATGGGGGCATCTATGTGGGCAGAGAAATATCTTCATTTATTGAAATGTTCCTAGCAACAGAAGTTTGTTTTCTTTTTTGCCCCCAAATTCTCAAACTAGAAACAGGCAAAATGATGTTAAGAAATTTAGAAAATTATAGACTTATTTTAGTTTCTTTAGAGTGTTATAAGGATATCTTGTTGCATTTGCTAACAGAAAGTTAAAATCTTTTTTTTTTTTTAATTTTAATGCCAATCTTGGGTTAATGTGGATTTTTTTTTTTTTTCCAAAAGCTAACTTATACAACAGCAGGTAAATGCTATTATATTAGATTGCTTCAGGACTGCTTTGGCATTTCAAATGCCTTTCCCTCAAGTGACAATTTTTCTTTAGCTATTTTCATATTATTCAACCCTGCATGCATTTAGAACTTAGCCAGTTCAATCCCTTCTGGGAAGTAACAACAACAGTAATAACGTTTATTAAAAAATTATATCCATCAATTACAGTGTTTCATACCATGCTCTGCATTTTCCACACATTGCTTCATTCTCTCTCCATAATAATCCTAAAAAGTAGGTACTTATCCTAATTTTACAGATGAAGAAAATGAGGTTTGCAGCTCAGAGAACTTTAGCAAAATGCTCGAGGCCACAGAGTTAGGAATTGGTGGAGCAGGATTTGAGACCCTGCTCTTTAGAACTTATGTTATGCGGCCACCCCAGGGTTTGGGCATATACAATGAATGAATGAATGAATGACCAATGAGCTTAATTGCAGCAAGCCTTACTTTAAAAATCATATTTTCTCAGGGCGCCTGGGTGGCTCAGTCAGTTAAGCATCCCATTCTTGGTTTTGGCTCAGGTCATGATCTCAGGGTCGTGATATGGAGCCCCCCTTGGGGCTCCGCGCTCAGTGGGGAGTCTGCCTGAGACGCTCTCCCTCTTCCTCTGCCCCTCCCCCTGTTCTCGCTCTCTAAAATAAATAAATAAATCTTAAAAAAACATTTTTTTTTTAAGATTTTATTTATTTATTTGAGAGAGAGAAAGAGCACAAGAGGGGGGAGCGGGAGAGGGAGAAGCAGACTCCCCGCCGAGCAGGGAGCCCGATGCGGGACTCGATCCCGGGACTCCAGGATCATGACCTGAGCCGAAGGCAGTCGCTTAACCAACTGAGCCACCCAGGCGCCCTAAAAAAACATTTTAAATCGTATTTTCTCAACTCCCCCACCCTACCTTGGCAATACGTGTTCTATAATAGAAGCTCCCGCAGGAGGTAAAGAGTATGCACTGTGACGTCAAGCAGTGCTTTATTCCAGTTCAGACTTGCAGCTTTTTAGCTAAGTGATCTTGGCCAAATTGTATAAACTTGCCGAGCCTAGTTCGCTCCTATGACAAAACAGGAATCCTACGTGCATCCCCTCCTTAGAGTCAATATCTGTATCTACAAGGATGTATAGATCTTCTTCAACTTATGATGGGGTGACACCTGGATAAACCCATCATAAGCTGAACATATCATTAAGTCGAAAATGCACTTGATGCACCTAACCCACTCTACAGCGTAGCTTAGCCTCGCCCCCACCTTACACGTACTCAGAACATATATATTAGCCTACAGTTGGGCAAAATCATCTAGCACAAAGCCTATTTTATAACCAGGTGTTAAATATCATGCACAGTTTATTAAATATAGTACCGAAAGTGAGAAACAGAATGGTCATATGGGTACAGACAGAATGCGTGTCAGCTTATTGGTTGTTTGCCCTCCTGATCGTGTGCCTGGGGGCTGCAGCTGCCACCACTGCCCAGGATCACAAGAGAGGATCCTACAGCATGTCCCTACCCTGGGCAAAGATCCAAATTCAAAACTCCAAGTACAGTTTCTACTGAATGCATCTCACTTTCACACCATTGCAGAGTCAAAAAATTGTTAAGTCGAACCATGCTAAGTCGGGGACCATTTGTATAAGTAAAGAGCTTCACGCCATGCCTGACATGGGTAAATGTTTACTCGTGGGCAGTTACTACCACATGGAGTTGTGGGAATCTGGATTTAAACCCTGGTTCTGGCACTTACTTGCTCTGCATCTAGAAGCACGTACTTAACCTCTCTAAAATGGGCATCGTAACATCTCCATTGTTGTCAGGGATTTTTTAAAGGGTTGGATGGCAGTGGTTCTCAAATGTCATCAAGCAGGCATTTGGCCATGTCTGGAGACATTTTGGTTGTCATGATTGAGCGGGGATACCACGGGCATCTAGTGGGTAGAAGCCAGGGATGCTACCAAACACCCTATTGTGCAGAGGACGCCCCCCCCCCCAAAAAAGAACCATCTGGACTCCAATATCAATAGTTCCAAGGGTGATACATCCTGTTGTGTGGGCACGTCATGAAGAGCAAGTGCCCGATCAATGCTAGCTAGTATAATTTCCTATCTCTTTGAGCTTCCATTTCAATCAAAGCGTTGTTTCTGGGAGCCCTGTCAGTTTTAAAATTCTCTGATTCAACATATGTGAAGTAGCTGCACCCACACATGTGAAACAAGTAGGACACGAACACTGTTGCTGAGTGTTCTCGTGAAGACCAGTTGAAAACAATGATCTATGTTGGCAAAATGGAAAATTCGCTTTCAAAGTTTTGTAGAAATCTTACTTTAGAACAAAAGTTGAAAGCAGTCCTTATAAAAACTCATTTTTTCTCCCCATTTTATATTAAAAGAACAGCGCTGGGGAGAAACTATTTGTGCTATAATCCCATGCCTATTTGCAAGGCTTTTATAAAACTCAAGGTTTTCTGGGACAGGAAATGTCCACTTATTACTAATTTTTTTTCCTGAAAAGTTATGGTTATGGGCATATTTGTCCATTTATGTTTTGGGAGTTGACATATTAGGTCATTCTTTCCCTAGAGATCAGCCTTTTTTTTTAATGCATGCTCTTTTCTTTTTATAATAGCAACACTTAATCATAGTGGCGAATTTGCAGAATCTAAAGAAGTATTATAGAGAAGGAGGAGAAGAAGAAAACAGGCATAATCTCATCACCCAAATATACCCAAACGAAGTACTACTAATATTTTGGCATATTTCTTCCTAGAGCTCTTTCTCTAAGCATTTCTTTAGACAATTGAAATGAAACCACATAAAAAGTTTTATATTACCTTCCTCACTTAACATCAGAGCATAAAAATTCCGGCATGTTATAAAAATACATCCTAAACATTTCTAGAGCTGTAGCATATTTCATCATATTAATGTATACTTTAAAATTTTATTACTCGTTTGTAAAAATATTTCATTATATAATGAATTAGTTGCAAAATGTCAAAAAACAGAGTATACCAAATGAAAATTAAAAATTAACCCCTCGGGGCGCCTGGGTGGCTCAGTTGGTTGAGCGACTGCCTTCGGTTCAGGTCATGATCCCAGGGTCCTGGGATCGAGCCCCACATCGGGCTCCCCCTGCTCTGCGGGGAGCGTGCTTCTCCCTCTGCCTCTGCCTGCCACTCCCCCTGCTTGTGCTCTCTCTCTCTCTCTCTGTCAAATAAATAAATAAAAATCTTTAAAAAAAAAAAATTAACCCCTGGATCCTCCTCAAACTTTCTTCAGTTGTAACTATTTTTAACGATTCCATGGGTATTTCCGCGATGCTGTTTGTGGTATCTGCCGAAGAGTTCCAGCCATTTTCCCAGGCACCTAGTATGAGCGCACCTGCTGGCTAGTGTAGGGTTTGGTTAGACCACGTGACTAGTTCTGGCCAATGAGTTGTGAGTTTTGTTTTTTTTTCTTTTTTTTTTTTTTTTAAAGATTTTATTTATTTATTTGACAGAGAGAGAGAGACACAGCGAAAGAGGGAACACAAGCAGGGGGAGTGGGAGAGGGAGAAGCAGGCTCCCCACCTAGCAGGGAGCCGGATGTGGAACTCGATCCCAGGACCCTGGGACCATGACCTGAGCCGAAGGCAGACGCTTAACGACTGAGCCACCCAGGTGCCCCATTTTTTTTCTTTTTGACACAGAGGGAACACAGGCAGGGGGAGTGGGAGGAGAAGCAGGCTTCCAGCGTAGCAGGGAGCCCGATGCAGGGCTCGATCCCAGAATACTGGGATCATGACCCGAGCCGAAGTCAGATGCTTAATGACCGAGCCACCCAGGCGCCCCAAGTTGTGAGTATTTAATTACTGCTGGTAAGATCCTCCAGGGCCTTCCTCTGCCGTCTCAACTACCGATGTTTCAGTTAGTAGCTGCTTTCTCAGCCAAGTACCAGAGAGAAGGTGACACAGAGCAGAATTCCCAGACAACTCATAGCGGGCAGGTATAGTAACTGAGTAATAACACAAATTGTTTCATTGAGGGGTTGTCTGTTACAATAGTATAACAGCATAGAGCTGTAGGGCCCCCCTGTTGTCACTAATAGAGCGGTAGTGTTTATACATATACACATACAAACATGCGCGCGCGCGCGCACACACACACACACACACACACACAAAAATTGACTGTAATGTATGCATTCTTTTGTAGTCCGCTCTTCTTTTTTGCTAAGAAATAGATTTATTATTCAAAGTTGTACACTGAACATCTACTATGCCTTGGTACTATGCTAGATGTTGATGCTGTATCATTGAACAAAACAACCAAAAAAAGAAAAAAAAACCCTACCCTCCATGCCATTTACATACATGGATAGCTTTCCATGTTTGTACATGTATACTGACCTTTTTCTTCTTTTTTTTTAAAGGATTTTATTTATTTATTTCAGACAGAGACAGCGAGAGAGGGAACACAAGCAGGGGGAGTGGGAGAGGGAGAAGCAGGCTTCCCGCTGAGCGGGGAGCCCCATGCGGGGCTCCATCCCAGGATCCTGAGATCATGACCCGAGCTGAAGGCAGATGCTTAATGACTGAGCCACCCAGGCGCCCCTGACCTTATTATTCTTAACAGTTACCTATTATTCTATTGTAGGGATGTACCAGATTCATTTGCCATACTCCTACTTCCAAATATTGAGGTTCTTCCCGATTGGTCTATTCTTGGAAAGCAAGGGTACTGTAAATATCCATGTACATGGGTATCACACACACACACCTGTGTGTGACAACTGGCCTTGTGAATCCACCTTAGTTCACTTCACTGTTCTTTCACAACTGGACATGGGGACCATTTTGAATTTTTGGTTATTGTCCATGTAGTGGTTTTAGAGTTAACACCTGTTTGTTTGAAGATTTGGGGGCAGTAGGACTGGATCAGAGAGTCTGGGCACTCTTCAGGCATGATTCTCTTCTACAGACTTCCTACTTCAGCAGGAATTGTCCAGGCATCTGGGGTTGTTCTACGTAGGAAGTAAGAGGATGTGCAATGCCCCTCACTAGCCCTTCCTTCTCAAGGCCATCTGAGACACCAAGAAAAATCAAGCCAGGAAATGAAAAACTCAGTTGATATGGGTGGACAGACTATTTTTATTAAGACTGTTTTTTAAGCCATTAGCATTTTACTTGATTTTCTTTTCTAGGCATTAATGTCTTTCTTTGCTTTTTAAACAAAGTTGCTCTAATGGACACTTTACACAGATGACTTCACACCTGCATCGACCTTGAGCCCCATAGGGCGCACCTCTTGGGCTTCACGGTGAGCTCACTTCTCTACTCTCCAAGATGATGACTCATATCTTTTCACTTTATCTTCCCACTATCACACCTACCCCCTGTCTGTGGCTATACCATGTACCCACCTCCCTGCTTCCAATGATCATGTAGGGACAGACTGTGATACCCACAAAAGACACCCCTTATCTTGTGCATAGCATCTTATTCCCTCTTACCAGCCCAAGAGATAGTAATGCTTCCTTTTGCTACTTTATCATTCACTTTAACACGGAATGGTGCATAGATTTTTTTCTTTTTCTTTTTTGAAATATTATTATGGTTTATTATAATTTTCTTTCTTCCTTCCTCTCTTTCTTTTTTTTCTTCCCTTCCTTCCTTCCTTCCTTCCTTTTCTTTCTTTCTTTGATGTAATGTTCCATGATTCATTATTTGTGTATAACACCCAGTGCTCCATTCAATACATGCCCTCTTTAATACCCATCACCAGGCTAACCCATCTCCCCACCCCCCTCCCATCTAGAACCCTCAGTTTGTTTCTCAGAGTCCATAGTCTCTCATGGTTCATCTCCCCCTCCGATTCCCCCCCTTCATTTTTCCCTTCCTACTATCTTCTTCTTCTTCTTCTTTTTTTTAACATATAATGCTTTACTTGTTTCAGAGGTACAGGTCTGTGGTTCATCAGTCTTAGACAATTCACAGCGCTCATCATAGCACATACCCTCCCCAATGTCTATCACCCAGCCACCCCATCCCTCCAACCCCCCACCACTCCAGCAACCCTCAGTTTGTTTCCTGAGATTAAGAATTCTTCATATCAGTGAGATCATATGATATATGTCTTTCTCTGATTGACTTACTTTGCTTAGCATAATACCCTCTAGTTCCAACCATGTCGTTGCAAATGGCAAGATTTCATTTTTTGATGGCTGCATAATATTCCATTGTGTATATATATATATATATATATATATATATATATATATATATATATTCTTTATCCATTCATCTATCAAAGGACATCTTGGCTCTTTCCATAGTTTGGCTATTGCGGACATTACTGCTATGAACATTGGGGTGCAGGTGCCCCTTCGGATCCCTACATTTGTATCTTTGGGGTGAATACCCAGTAGGGTGCATAGATTTTTGTTATAGGACAAGGCTAGCCATGAAAGTGCCTGCTCTTCCTTTCTGGAAAGGGAATAAAAACAAGATGCAAAGGGCAACATCTTATCAGGTTTTCTAACCACATCAGAAGTCCTCTGAAAATGATGTGGGCTGCAACAGTGCTATCCGGAAGGATTTGCCTATGGGACAACCCAGGCGCTGCCCACATTGCAGATTGTCCCAGACATGCCGTGAATTTTTAACTGCTCCGGGCTACTGTATTTCCAGCCCCCAGAGTTGTTGGTGGCATGACATTCAGGGTCCCTAGCATGCATGCAATCATCAGAGCGGACTAACTGGAAAAAATGAAATCCTATTGTCTTGCTCTTTATCCAGTATGGTTACAGGCTTTCCCAGTTAAACAAATAAATAGGCAGAACTCCGAGCTAGGATGATGGGCAGGGGGAGTGGCCTGTCTTTGAGACTTGCATTCATTTGTTCTGCAAATATGTATTGCATGTCTCCTTGGTACCAGGCACTGCTTTGGGGGCTTGGGATTCAGGAGTAAGTAAAACAAAGATATCACTCCTCATGAAGCTTACATTCTAGGAGGGGAGTTCAGATGATATACATAATAGATGACAGAATGTGATGGATATTCATGCTATGAAAAAAAAAAAAAAAGGACAAAGTCGAACAGAGCAAAGAAGTCTGAGCATGCCAAGGGGGGAGAGAAGGCAGTTTGCATCATCATGTAGAGCGGTCAGCCCTCTCAGAGAAGATAAAATTTCAGCAAAGATCAAAGGTGGTAAGGGAATTAACCAAGCAGGTATCTGGGGGAAGAGTGTCCCAGTTGAGAAAAAAGCTAGAGCAAATTCTCGAGGAGGTGGGAGGGGGGTGCCTGGAACAACAAGGAGAAGCAAAGACACCATTGTACCAGGAGTCAATGAACAAGAGGACTGGAGTAGGAGAAGCAGCCTGGGAGGGGATGGGAACACATCACATCAAGTCCTTTTATACCACCGTAAGAGCTTTGAGTGAAATGGGAGCCAGTGCAAGATTTTGAGCAGAGGCGTGATGTGATCTGACTTAGGTTTTTAAAGGATCACTCTGTCTCCTATGTTGAGAATTGAGCAGAGGGAAAGAGAGAAGCCAGGGGTCCTATCCAGGCCAGGGTCGACATCAGGACAAGATGCCAGAGGAGCAGACAGAGAGCAGTGGTTAGACTCTGAATGCATTTTGAGGATAAAGTCAGCCTGATTTTCTGAGGGCTTGGATGAGTAGAGAAGGCTTGGATTTCATCCCGAAGGATGCAATTGTTAAGACATAGTCTGGGAGCATTGGTGGGAGAAACAGATTTCAGGGGGGTGAGGGAATCAGGAGTTCATTTGGGGGCATGTCGGGTTTGTGATGCCTGCTAGATATCCAAGTGTAGATGTTAGTAGGCAGTTGGATAGATGCATCTAGAATAGAGGAGGGAAGTCTGGGTTTGATATTGACAAGTGCTTAAACTTTTTTTTCTTTTTTTTTTCAAGTAGGCACCACGCCCAACACGGGGCTTGAACCCACAACTGTGAGATCAAGACCTGAGCTGAGATCGAGTCGGACTCTCAACCGACTGAGCCACCCAGCACCCCAAGTGCTCACCTTTTTTTGGTCTATTTTTTAGGAGTCAGAAGTTCTGTAATGCAAAATTGTTATTAACCACGTTTTTGTTTTGGTTTGTCAGCATTTCCACGAATCTATCATCGATAACGTTTGATGTTCTGAATGCTGAACGCAAGACCTGTAAGACCCTCAGATACCTTCCAATTCATCAGTGGAATAATAAAATCAAGGTAAAAGGACCTTTTGGTTTAGTTTATAGTTGACAGTTGATATCTCTTTGCAGCATGCATGCTTGCACACCACCAAGACTATTCTTTCATGGGTCCCTTCTCCAATTCTGGCTGTACAGAAGGGAATGGGGCATGAGGGAAACACCTTTAGAACCAAGTATCTGAGTTAGATCTTAGAGCTGGAACTTTTCTGCTGTGAAGAGTAATTAAAATTTTCAGAATCCCCGAATCTTCACTGCATCATGAGGGTAACACCCGTCTTGGAGGGCTGTTGGGGGAAATGCTGTGCCTGATCCCTGATAATCATGATTTTTGTCATTTATACCTTGCCCATCAGGTGGGTGCCCAGTAAACCTTTCTTTTTTTTTTTTTAAGATTTTATTTATTTATTCATGAGAGACAGAGAGAGAGAGAGAGAGACAGAGGCAGAGGGAGAAGCAGGCTCCCCGCGGAGCAGGGAGCCCGATGCGGGACTCGATCCAGGGACTCCAGGATCATGACCTGAGCCGAAGGCAGTCGCTTAACCAACTGAGCCACCCAGGCGCCCCCCAGTAAACCTTTCTATGCCCTCTATTCCTTCCACAACCACCCACGAAATACCTAGCACATAGTAGGTGGTCAATAAACGTGAACTGATTCACCACTCAGGCTATCCTCATTTCTCTCCCTGTTCTTCCAAAATACATTCGTTTGTTTCTGTCCATCGTGCCTATCACTTTGTGGCATGCAGTAATGTATTTATTTGTTGACTCTCTGCCTCTCCCAGGAAACATAAGCTCCAAGAAGGCAAGAACTTGCATTCATTCATTCCCTATAGCTCTAGAGCCTAGAACTGTGTCTGGTGCTCTGTAGGGGCCCAATAAATATTTGTGGAATAAATTAGGAGATGAACGAATGATGTCAACAAACAAACCAACTCTACTATTTCATATACAAGGTGAAACTTCAAGGACCATAAACCCAAATCACCTTGAAAAATCTGCAGCCTGGAAAAGGACGGACCTGAGATTATTTCCAGCAGTAAGGTTTTACAAATTAATTGATTTTTCTGACTCACTTAGTGTGGGTTTAAACCATTTATCTGAAAGTGCCGTAATATATTCTTTGAATTAGTCTAACAGTAAGAGACAAAAGCTGAACTAATGAGTTAGACACTTAGCTGAGCTATCTTTATTAGCTCCTTACATTCACCGGTCTCCACATCACCTCTGCTGTGCTCGCTTCAAAGCCCATTTGGTTCTTCGGCGGACAGATTCAGCGAGTCTTCCCTTCCAGCTCGTTGTAGAAAAGTGCAGACCTGCCCTTTGGTGACATCGCCTCCTTTCAGATCAGGAGCCTTTGTCAGGGGGTGTCCCAGACCCTCTGAATAAAGCCACTTCCTCTGTCTTAGCCCTGGTAGGCCACCCACCCCCACGGGAGCAATATTTAATAACATGAGGACTACAAAGCCCGGCTGGATGAGTCACTGTTATGAGTGACCAGCTAAACTGAAATCTCCTTTGACATGCAGGAATAAAATGCATTCCTTTAATTTCCACTTTTAATGGGCATATTACGCATGCCCAGGGACAACACCTGCATTTTCTTCCTCCTGTTGGCTATCATAAAACCCCTCTGAATCTAAGTGAGGCTCAAAGTTCTTCCTTAACACAGTGTTCTCTAAATGTCAAGCATTTCTCCCACTGTTCCTCTCACTTTCTTTGCCCTGTCTGCAGACCACCTCCTGGTTTTCTTGACTGTAACTCGCCTCTGCTACTTAAATAGCTTTGCTCAAAAGAAACATTTTTTTTTTTTTTTAAATCTCATGCCTCATGCTTCTGGTAAGCTAGTTTCTCCTACCATAAACAGACATGTATAAAATTAGAGGGGAAAATAAAATAATAGTAATACAAGGAAGACAGCCTAGGCTGTCTGCTGACGACTCTGAGGCTGGGACCTGTGAGGTGTCCGATGAAGAGGGAGAGGAGAAAGGGTTTGGTGTTAAAGACACAGAGACTGCAGATGGGGACTGTTCTCCTTGAAGTCGTGAAGTGATGCAAAAGAGAACCCAGATGGAGGAGCTCCTTTGTGGGGATCTGTTTGGTACCAGCATGATGGCGGTGGTTGCCGTTAAGCTCTACACTGAATCCAATTGCATAGACACACACACACACACAAGCAAAAACGGGTGAAATCTGCATCGGGTCTGTAGTCTGGATGACAACACTGTATCAGTGTCAATGTACATGCGTGACATGTCACCACTGGGGGAAACCAAGGGAAGAGTCCAGGGGGCTCTGATGTAGTATGTCTACAGCCACTTCCTGTGAGCCCACAATTATTTCAAAATATATATATATTTTTTTAAATGGAGTACCTCCCCCCTCATGCAGCCTGCATGTGTGTTGCCTAAATCCACAGGTGCGTCACCAGCTGCCCCATGCCCCAATCTGGGCAAAAATTGGCTTATCAGTTTGTGGAGGTGAAATCTAAGAAGAAGACGCATTTATCAGACTTCGAAGCCCTCGAGAGATCTAGGCATGTAGTAAAGCACTTAGCATACTGCATGGCACTTAATAAGGGCTCGATAATTATTGTCCTATCATCTTCTTTCTCTTATTCTTGCTCTTCTTCCTATCATCATCATCATCATCGTAGTGGATTGAATTGTAACATTCCCCCCCCACACAATGATGTCTTCAAGTCCTAACCTCTGGTACCTATGAATGTGACCTGATTTGGAAATGGGGTCTTTGCAAATGTAAATGGGGTCTTTGCAAAAGATGAGTTCATGCTGGAGTGGGATGGGCCCTGATCCAGTGACTTGTGTCTTTTTGAGAGAAAGAGGGAGATGTGGAAATAGAGACGCTGGAGTCACATGGGGAAAAAGGCCATCTGAAGATGGAGACAGAGATTGGGAATTATGTTGACACAAGTGAAGGAATAGAGAGGGTCACCAGCAACTATGCTGGTTCCTTGCAGAGGCAAGGAAGAATTCTTCCCTAGGGCGTTCAGAGGGAGCATAGCCCTCCTGACATCTTGATTTCAGGCCTCTTGTGTCTAGGATTCTAAGATGACAAACGTCTGTGTCTTTAAGCCACCTAGTTTGTGGTAATTTGTCATGGTGCCCTAGGAAACAAATATGTCATCATCCCTGGTCAACTGTTTTATGCCCAGTATCTATCATATTCCCATTTAAAAGGCTCTGTGAAGTTCCACAGAAAGAAGCCCATTCAACTTTCTTTGCCCTGTATTTCCAAACTGTTTGACCAGAAACTAGAATCTGCACATAGACAGAGGAACGAGCATTTGGAAAATCATCTCATCTCACAATGAAGAAAACTAAGAACCAGTGAGAGGAGTTGACTTGCTCTAAGTCACAGAGTGAAAGCAATGGAATTATAACTCAGTCCTCCTCCCTCCTTTCCATCCTAAGCACAACCAAAATAATCATTATCAAGCCCCAGAATTCTAACGGTTAGGATCTCAAAACTCATCTAGTCCAAAGCCTTGTTGAAGAACCTGAGGCCCAATAGGAAATGGTTTCCCTGGGCTCCTGGGTGGCTCGGTCGTTAAGCGTCTGCCTTCGGCTCAGGTCATGATCCCGGGGTCCTGGGATCGAGTCCCGCATCAGCCTCCCGCTCAGTGGGAAGCCTGCTTCTCCCTCTCCCACTCCCCCTGCGTGTTTTACCTCTCTCGCTGTGTCTCTCTCTGTCAAATAAATAAATAAAATCTTTTAAAAAAGTAAATGGTTTCCCAACGTCACAAAGCAAGTTACAGTTCTTCTTCTGCACACAGAAAATGTACACCCCAAATTACCCAGTGATCAACCTAAAATAATAGTGATGCTGCCCCTAGTGGCACAGCCCTGCAATGACAGCTATCGCCGCACATTTTTAAAAGTAGGCTCCTGGGTGGCTCAGTTGGTGGAGCATCCAACTTTTGGTTTCGGCTCAGGTCCTGATCTCATGGGTCGTGAGATCGAGCCCCACATCGGGCTCCATGCTCAGCGGGAGTCTGCTTGGATATTCTCTGTCCCTCTGCCCCTTCTCCAGTGCACGCTCTCTCTCAAATAAACAAATAAAATCTTAAAAAAGAAAAAAAAAAAGTAGATTCCTTAACAAAGATAATCAACCACAGACCACATAGCTTCTCAGAGGTAAAGTAAGGTTAATTCCTTAACATATTAGATTTCAGTTTATGATTACACTGAGTTTGCTATGGAACATTGATCATTGATTCCAAAATATTTCTCTTAGATGATTTTATATCTTTGTTTTCTTTTTTCTAGGTTAGGACAATATCTGGAGCATATCTGGAGCTAATAATTTTCTACTGAATTTTAATACATAGTAAAATGTGCTTAAAGCAACCAAAAAGCAATGTGTTCCCTCCAACAAAAAGTACTTTAAAATCACTTTCAATACATGTACGATGAGAAAACAATATTTATAATTTGTTCCCCCAAAAATGTAATGTAGAATTGGGGTATATTTTATATATCCACACAGATTATGTGCCAGGAAAAAATGGTAGTAACACAGAAAAACTGGATTTTTTATATTTATGTCTCAGTGGGAAATCTTTTATTTTTTTCTTCTAAATCATCTTACCCTTCACTTCTGAGTCAGCATTTACATGAATTTCAGGAAAAAGCTGACTGGTTAGGGTGTCTGGGTGGCTCAATGGGTTAAGCATCTGCCTTTGGCTCAGGTCATGATCTCAGGGTCCTAGGATCGAGACCTGCATCGGGCTCCCTGCTCAGAGGGAATCTGCTTCTCCCTCTGCCACTCCTCTTCCTTCTGCTCTCTCTCTCTCTCTCTCTCCCACTCACTCTTCTCTCAAATAAATAAATAAAATCTTTAAAAAATTTAAAAAAAAAGTTGACTGGTAAACATGCTACTTAACCTATCAGCCCCCACTTAGATGCGGAGTCATTCTAGACATACAGGTATGTGATCTATTTTTTGAAGACTGCATTAAGAGAACAGGTCTGAGGAGGTGCTTTTCTGGAAAGATCAGAAAGTGCTCATTGGCTCTGCTTCCTCAACTGTAGACAGACCGGGTTAACCACGATTAGTTGGCCGGGTCTTTGGCAAATAGCTTCAGAAATGAGCCCAGCCCTCCCGCAGGTCTCGCCATACTCTCAGAAATAGAACATGATGACGCCAGGCCACAGAGAAGAAAAGAACCAATTCGTGTTGATGCTACCTCGCCTATCTTTCTCTGAGGAAAGCTGAAGGAAACCAAAATTTTTGTGCTAAACAAGCACTTGAAATGCTTCATCTTTTTAAATCCTAACTGTACATGGGAGTAAGATGCCAACCCCGTTCTATGAATGAGGAACCTGGATTTCAAAGAGGTTCATTTGCCCTTGGTTTTCCATTGTCGACTAGCATTTACTGAGTACTCATTCTGTGCCAGGATCGGTAGAATTTGCTTACTTTCATTTAATCTTCAAAATCGTATTTCTCAGAGAAAGAAACTGAGACTAGAAACTGTTCAAACTTCTACAGTCTTAAGAAAGCCATCGATGAAAAAAACAAAACAACAACAAAACAAAAACAAAAACAAACAAAAAAAAGAAAGCCATCGATGAGGTTCCTTGGAACAAACGGAGCAACAAGAGACAGGAGTCAGAAACACAAAGATCAAAACACCGTGTGGAAGACCGGAGGCCAAGTGAATGAAGAGCCCTCCCCAAAATGTCACATATCCAAACTCACACAGCTTGTAAGCAGAGGAGGTGGGATTTGAACTCTATTCTGCACGGCTCCAAAGCCCGGAATCTTATCCACCACACTGTCCTATCCTTAGTCTTTCTCTCCTTTAGAGAAATAATGGGATAACAAGGACATCCTACAAAAACAAGTTTCATCCATTCAAATCTTGGTGACCTGTAGGGGATTCTAATTATTGTCACTAATGGGTTAACTATGGGTTAATTAGTACTTCAAATCTTTTCATTATCATCCCTGGAATGAAAAAACCTATTCCAAAATGGTCCTCTGCCTGATGGAGGAAATATGATTAGGACTCTTTTTTTTTTTTTTTGAGTTGTGAAGATTCTTTTTTTTTTTATTCTTATGTTAATCCCCATACATTACATCATTAGTTTTAGATGAAGTGTTCCATGATTCATTGTTTGTGCACAACACCCCGTGCTCCATGCAGAATGTGCCCTCCTCAATACCCACCACCAGGCTAACCCATCCTCCCACCCCCCTCCCCTCCAGAACCCTCAGTTTGTTTTTCAGAGTCCATCGTCTCTCATGGTTCGTCTACCCCTCCGATTTCCCCCGCTTCATTCTTCCCCTCCCGCTACCTTCTTCTTCTTCTTTTTTTTTTCTTAACATATATTGCATTATTTGTTTCAGAGGTACAGATCTGAGATTCAACAGTCTTGCACAATTCACAGCGCTTACCAGAGCACATACCCTCCCCAGTGTCTATCACCCAGTCACCCCATCCCTCCCACCCCACCCCCCACTCCAGCAACCCTCAGTTTGTTTCCTGCGATTAAGAATTCCTCATATCAGTGAGATCATATGATACATGTCTTTCTCTGTTTGACTTCTTTATGATTAGGACTCTTCATGGCAAGTACCAGGAGCACAATTCCAACCAGCTTCAACAAAAGGATGCATTTATTAAAAGGACACTTGGAAGTCACACAAAGAAGGCAAAGATTGAATCAAACCAGGAGAAAGCAGAGCTTCCATGTGAGGATGACAAGAAGCAGAATCTTCCAGGAGGAGTGGCTTCTCTAGCAGCAAGGGACTGTCTTAGAGTCCTATTGCTACTGTAGCATGTGACTACAAATTTAGCAGCTTCAAACCACACAAATCTATTATCTTACAGTTCTGGAGGTCAGGAGTCTGACATAGGGCTCACTGGGCTGAAATCGAGATGTTCACAGGGCTGCGCTCCTTTCTGGAAGGTCTGAGGGAGAATACATTTCCTTGTGTTTCCCAGTGTCTAGAAACTGCCTGCATTTCTTGGCTCATGGATCCTCCGTCCCTCTTCAAAGCCTGCAATGCTGCATCTCTCCTGAATGTTCTGTTTCTCACATCTCCCTCTGCCTCTCCTCCCCTGCCTCCCTTCTTCCATTCTTAAGCATCCTTATGATTACACTGCTCCCGCCCCACAATCCGGAATAATCTCTGTATTTTAAGGTCGTATAATGAGCAACCTTAGTTCCATCTAAAACCTTGATTCTCAGGGTGCCTGGGTGGCTGAGTCGGTTAAGTGTCTGCCTTCGGCTCAGGTCATGATCCCAGGGTCCTGGGATCGAGCCCCGCATTGGGCTCCCTGCTCAGTGGGGAGCCTGCTTCTCCCTCTCCCCCTTGCTTGTGCTCTCTCTCTCATAAATAAAATCTTTAAAAAAATAAAATAAAACCTTGATTCTCCTTTGCCATATTCCATAATATATTCATGGGTTCTGAGGATTAGAACGTGGACATCTTTGGGGGACAATCATTATTTTGCCTACCATAAAAGGGTGTACACTTGGATTTACCAATTAGCAATTCTGAACACCATGGGTGAGAGATGAATTTTTTTTTCTTTTTATTTTTTTATTCTTATGTTAATCCCCATACATTACATCATTAGTTTTAGATGTAGTGTTCCATGATTCATTGTTTGTGCATAACACCCAGTGCTCCATGCAGAATGTGCCCTCCTCAATACCCACCACCAGGCTAACCCATCCTCCCACCCCCCTCCCCTCTAGAACCCTCAGTTTGTTTTTCAGAGTCCATCGTCTCTCATGGTTCGTCTACCCCTCCGATTTCCCCCGCTTCATTCTTCCCCTCCCACTACCTTCTTCTTCTTCTTTTTTTTTTTTCTTAACATATATTGCATTATTTGTTTCAGAGGTACAGATCTGAGATTCAGCAGTCTTGCACAATTCACAGCGCTCACCATAGCACATAGCCTCCCCAATGTCTCTCACCCAGCCACCCCATCCCTCCCACCTCACCCCCCACTCCAGCAACCCTCAGTTTGTTTCCTGCGATTAAGAATTCCTCATATCAGTGAGATCATATGATATATGTCTTTCTCTGTTTGACTTATTTCGCTCAACATAATACCCTCCAGTTCCATCCACGTCGTTGCAAATGGCAAGATCTCATTCCTTTTGATGGCTGCATAATATTCCATTGTATATATATACCACATCTTCTTTCTCCATTCAGAGAGATGAATTTTCAAAGGGAAGTTGGGACCTTGGAATGGGGAGGGGATAATTTGTGAGTGGCCAAAAGTGACAAAAGTCCTCAACTGATGGAGAGCTCACTCATTCCAGAGAACGGAGGGGCTGCTGAGTGGACACAACCAAAGTTACCTACTGCAAAGCAACATTGCAGCTAAATCTCTCTTTGATGATCCATGCTTTCTCTACGTCTCAAGATCAGTCTATGAGTACCACCAATGGGACATTGAGCTACACAGGAAATAGAAGTGAAGATGGATTTGTACTGGCTTGTAAAGTATTCTGAAGTTTTGCATTCTTTTTGTAAAAATTCCTGCCTACGTTGTTTTGTTGTTGTTTGTCCTTTTCTTATAAAAAGTGAAATGTAGAATTCGTGAAAATGATTATGTGAGGGCACCAGGGCATGGAAATCTGGTTCTGCTGTGTTAAAGAAAATAAAGCATCTTAAAAATAAATGATTAGTAAGACCTTTTCTCAATTTAAGGCATATACTTATTCTCATCCCTATTAAGATGGAACCCGAACTTGGTGAATTTTCACGGTCAGATAAAACACTTCATTTAAATTCTGGATTGCTGTGGAATACCCCCACATCTCACTTTATTTCCGATAGGGAACTATGATTTATAGTTTAGTGTCTATATTCTTCTAGTTCTTTTTATATACATTCTAGGGAGAACATACTGTACAAAAGTTTTATTTGATTTTTTTTTTCTCAAGTAACCATGCTCTTTAGAAAACACTGTAGGTCAGGCCAGTTGTTCCTGGGTGGCTCAATCAGTTAAGCATGACTCTTGATTTTAGCTCAGGTCATGATTTCAGGGTCCTGGGATTGAACCCCAAGGCAGGATCCATGCTCAGCGGGGAGTCTGCTTGAGGATTCTCTCTCTCCCTCTCCCCCTTCCCTGCTCCTTGCTTGCACGACCCCCTCTCTCTCAAATAAATAAATCAATCTTAAAAAGAGAAAGAAAAAACTGTAGGTCCGCCCATATAATTCCACCTTGTTCTTTGAAGTAGATCACATCGTGATCTTCCGAATGTTTTCAGAGAAGCCATAGACTGAGATTTTTTGGGAAGAGTTCCAATTTTTTAAATGTTGGCAACTCATTTAAAAATGTAAAGAACAGTGTGAAGTCTTAACTGAGTACACCTGTGGGCTTGATTCATCCTATAAATGGCTAGTCTGTGACATCTAAATGGATGTGCTCTTCAATCCAGCCCCCATGCACGGTGCTGGTAGAACCTTCGAGGTCTGGAAGTACAGGGATAAAGGAGGGCAGCAGACTCAGATAGTCATGGTTGAGATGCATGTTGTTTGCCAGTATAAGGGGATCATATTTCTCAGCCTCCTTGACATTGGGCAAAGCCATGCAACTAGTTATGGTCAATGGGTTGCATGCAGAAGGAATGTGAGTCTGCCAGGCTGCTGTGAAACACTCTTGCTTTGCTTTTCCCCCAGCAATCATGGAAGTACATCCTAAAGATGTACTTAAAAAAAAAAAAAAAGATTTTTATTTATTTGACAGACAGAGAGGGAGAGAGGAAGCCTAAGCAGGGGGAACAGCAGGCAGAGGGAGAGGGAGAAGCAGACTCCCCGCAGAGCAGGGAGCCCAATTTGGGACTCGATCCCAGGACCCTGGGATCATGACCTGAGCCAAAGGCAGACGCTTAACCGACTGAGCCACACCCCAAGCCTGTGGTTTTTAAAATAATTTTTAACTGTAGTATAACTTGGTTTATCCTGACTAATATGGGATATATTTGATTTCTATTGCTGTGCAACAAATTATCATAAATTTAGCAGCTTAAAATAATGCTCTTCTATTTGTCCAAAGTTCTGTAAGTACAGAGTCTGGCACAGTGTGGCTAGATTCTCTGCCAAAGATGCCTCAAGGCTGAAATCAGGGTATCCACTGATCTGCATCCTAAACTAGAGGTTCAACTATAGAAAGTTCTATTTCTGAGCAACCTTGGTTGTTGGCAGAATTCATGGCCTTGGGGTTGTAGACTGAGGTTCTCAGTGTCTTGCCATTTGTTGGCCTGGGACCATTCTTAGCTTCTAGAGGCTGATCTCAGGTTCTTACCATGTGGCCCCTTCTTCAACAGCAAAGAATCTCCCGGAAACGGAATCCTTCTCATGCTTTGGGTCTCTGATGTCCCTTTCTATGGCCAGCCAGAGAAAATTCTCTGCTTTTTAAAGCCTCTTTCGATTAGATCATCCCCATTGGGATAATCTCCTTTTCTTAAGGTCAACTGTGGCACATAACATAACCTAATCATGAGAATAAAAATCCATCATCTTTATAGTCCTGGGGATTATGCGGGACAATTTACACCAAAGGGGAAGAAAATCTTGGGGTTTATATTTTTTAAAAAAAGATTTATTTATTTATCAGAGAGAGAGATTGAGAGAGAGAGAGTGAAAGAGAACACAAGCAGGAGGGGCACAAGGAAAGGGAGAGAGAATCTCAAGCAGACTCCATGCTGAGCAGAGAGCCAACATGGAGCTAGAGCCTAATATGGGCCTGGATCCCAGTACCCTGAGATCATGACCTGAACCGAAACCAAGAGTCCAGTGGTTAACCGACTGTGCCATCCAGATGCGCCTCTTAGGGTCTGTATTAAGATTCTATCTAACACATGCCAGTGAGTAAGGCTCTTTGTTGGTCTCTTTTTGTATGGGGAAGAATCTATACACCTATCTCTTGTTTAATGACTTTAACTCATTCCTAAAAACTTTGCTACTAAAGAAAAAGCCATTGAATGGGGGAAAGATTCCATTACTTTTAACAGGAAAACTATGATGCCTCCCA